ATGAACAGATATGTGAATGAAGGCAGAGAAATTAAATGGCTGATCTTTGATTTGATATATTTTTATTTCTCAGACATGTTAGGTTGATTTACATGTGAGCACTTAGCTAAAGAATCATTTGTCCATGCCATGAACACTGGTATATATCGCTTTAAACATTTGATTGCCTCACTTGTATTTTCCCTGCTGTAGGTATGTATGAGAAATTTGCAACACGTGCTTCTTTCAACTTTGTCATTAATGGCGTCATTTACACATTTGAAATGCTTCAGTCTAACATATATATGTACACTGATCAAGCATTTCAAAGCATGGACACGTGATTAATTCAAAAATTCTGATTCTCCCCTTTTCTTCTCAGCTCCACATTTACATATGCAACTGATGTCTGATATCTTGTCATGTGTATCTTGTAGGTACATCAGTTTCAAAGTCCAATACTGAACTCATTATTTCATCCCAGACCTTTCTTCCCTTTTATTTCTTATTTCAGTAAAAGATACCACAATCAAACAAATTATCAAGTCAGAAACACAAGGGTCATCCTATGGATCACCCTCTCCATCTTCCTCCTCACCCCAACCTTTAGTCCCTATTCATTCTGGAGCTGCCACCCTTTTCTTGTGCTTCCCTGTGTGAGCTGAGGACTCATCTGAGCTGCTGTAGTTTTCTGTTAACTATTTCTCTGTCATTAGATCTGAACCTCTCTGATTCTGACTGATATGTACTCCATCTGTAAACATAGTAGTCTTTTTAAAATGTAAAACAGGTGATATTACTCATCTGCTTTGAACTCTTCAGTTCTTTCCCAGAACTGAAGTCCGAATTATTCAGCTTGGCTCCAAAGCCCTCTGCTTTCTGCCTCTGCTAAACATATCTACTGTGTCTCCCCCCAAGACTTACTCTTCACCCAGCGGACAGTGCAGTTTTCTGAAGACACTGTTCTTCCATGCTCCGTGACACCTTTGTACTCTCGTTCCTTCCTGGAATAATCTACTTTTTATAACTATAAATTACTACTCAGTCTTTAGGGTACCCATTAAGGATTTTTTTCTCTTTGACAAATGTTTCTAGATTTCTCACAATCTTTCTAATCCATCTCCTGCCCTACAGAACTGAATATTCTTTTCTTTGGGCATATAATACTTATAATAGTTCCTATTTCACTGGATTACAATCACATGATCATGTACCTCTCTGAACTAAGTCTATGAGCAATTTGTGGCCAGGTTACATATTTTACTATTACAATATCTGGTACCTAACAAATGTTGAATAAATATTTGCTGAGTTAATGAATAAACAAATGAAGGAATTCATATTCTCTTTGCATATACTTCAGTGATTTGGAATTTTTGGCAACTGACAAAAATACACATCTTTAAAACAGTTACTAATTAAATCAGTATATAAAAAATCAAAATTTCTTTGTTCTTTTAACCATAAACCCACATTATTATTCACATTCAAGCTTTCTATATTTTTTTTCTTTTTGGAACATCCCTTTTTAATTCATTCTGTATCCATTTAAAGCTGATTATAATTAATTATTTTGATCTTCATATAGTTGTCACATGGACTTTTATAGACATTCCATTATAATTAAAAATAGATTAATGGACATTTAAAACATGCCACTGTTCTTTAATAAAGCTTATATCTGTGGTCCACTGCTGGTGAAATGACCCAAAAATAGATCAGAACAGTAGTTTGTAATTTTGATAAAGAACACATTTGGCTTTCGAGTTTTTAAATCAAGGCCCTTTTCCAGTTGGTTGAGTACCAGATGCATCACACAGATTTCTTTACATATAAGAGTATTACTTATTGTCATGGGCCAATTTAAGTGCTGTGCTAAGGGCAGTCTAACTAGATTAAGTCAGAAGTTATTGCCCAGTCATATATTAAAAAATTATATTAGACTTCTGTTGGAAATTTTGAAGTAATAATTAAAAATATGTTCTAATCCACTATCAAGTAAATTTTATTTCTAACATGACTATTGTTGGAGTTTTTTGTCTTTAAAAAGGTTCATCTTTTTGCCATAATTAAAAGACTTATTTGGTATTTGTTCAAAACTTCTTTGTATGTTCTAGCTCAAGATCTTCCATGGAAGCCTCATGTTGGCCTGAGGTCCCACTGGTGTTTCACACTTCAGATTTCAGCCACAGAGGCTCTACTCATACATGTTTTATATATTGGGTATCTGTTTAAGGTTTTCTTGGGATAAAAGAGGGTTCTACACTAAATGGAATTTTCAAATCATTACTTTTTTTGTCACCATTTCATTAGATTATAGGAGTGTATTGGCTTGTGATGAATATGTGTTTCATTGTAATCAAGTTATCTGTCATTTGTAGAAATGTCTGTCTTTCATTTTAGACTATTTAGTGAATATAATCATCAATTTTATAGAATCCATTTAAACTGTGCTTGTTAGAATCCAAATGCACTCCCTTCCTTCCTTTAGAAAAAAATTAGCTCTCTAAACAGTTTTCTTTCATTGCTAGACAAGTTTCAGTGTAAGGGGTGTTCTTGGAAAATAAGAAGTCACTGTTGTTAAGTACATCCAACTTCCAATTCAGAAAAAAACACTATATTGAACTGTCAGTAAAATCTGTAAAAACTATGAGAAGTAGGCAATAAAACATTCTTGTGAGCATTAAATCAGTTAAGCAATTTTATATTCTTTTATGGTCTAGGCATGAATTAGGTGCTCATTAAGTTAGTGAAGGTGGTCAGTAGTTTTGGTGCCACATTACAATGCAGAGTTGTCTTACTGGAGCACAACTAGAGAAGAGTATATGGATGGTTGCATTTGTGATCCAAGTATGAAGCACCCTATTAAGTCAGAGGGAGACCATATAGTTTCAGGATGACCTTAGGATCATAATCTCCTCCAATATTTCTTTCTGAACACAGGCTGCTCAAATTATATATTTATGTCTTAAAAATAGAAACAAGAAATGGCTATAAGTAAATTTTAACTAGCTTTCCCAAAAGAAAAGGCCAACTAAAGAATACTTAGCATGCTTGATTCAAAACACAGTTTTCCATAAACTTGAAGAACAACCTTCACAAGGTTATTTAATTTATCTAAATTGTGATCAGACTGGAACATTGACAAAATTTTACTCCCAGGAGCCAACAGGGAAGATAACATTATATTTATAATTGTGAATGTGAAATCTCCAGCATTTTTCTTATGTTTTGAGCCCAGTTGCTAGTTGATATGTATAGTTTGATTTTTGAAAACAAAATCACCCACAGAAATGCTTATGGATAAGCAAGACTATTTGGGTATAAAGATAGAAATCATAGCCATCAGCGAGAGGTTATGCTTACTTCTTGACCAATCTTTCCAATTTCAATGATTCTCTCTTCTCTGGTGTCCAGGGCCCACACCAGAATAACCCCACAAATATTGTCTCAACTAGCTCTATTCATTGTGCTATTTTATAACCAGCTAGTCTCAGCTCCATCACGTCCTAATTCTCTTGAGACTCATTTTTTCATGGAGTGTGTGTGCTACTAGTAATAACTAAAATATGAGTCTTCCTTTCCTATATAATATAGTGAGTTGTAATGCATCTCTATTAGAAAATGACCAGTGTTTCCATTTTTAGTCTCCTTTAAAGATTATTGGAAAAATAATTTAGAACAAGCGCAAAATTAGAAACACAAAGTATTTAATGATAGCAAAACCACCTTCTACTAGATTTAGTGAGACCTTTAATAAGACATGGTAGCATTTCTTCCCTAGGCTCCCAGTATGTTCTTTTGTAAAAGAATCACAGGGCTATCTATTTCTCCTGCCTCCTGCCAAAATAAAATATATACAGTGGTCTGGGAAAGTGCCAGTTGGAAAAAGGATGACCAGCCAAATAAGAGAATCCTTACAAGGGAGTTTATGGTTAAATTGGGTATATGTCTCAAGGATTATTAGGTACACACAAATATTTGGAGGCTTTGTGAATGACTAAATGATTTATTAGTTTTTTGCTTCCTCATATGGGAAGACAAACTTGAAAACACTCACCCTAAAAAAGTGACTATATTTTCTTCAGGGGAGCCCTGGTTATCCTGATCAACTCATAAAAATAATAAAAACAATTGGGTTATCTGATTAGATGACTTATTTTATGTCACATATGTTTACAACTAATCAAGACGTTTGTCCCATCACATTTTAGTCCATTAATAATTCATTATACCAATTTTCTCCCACAGAAAAAAGATTTGAACAACTATTTCCTAAGAACCATGTCTTTTTGTTGTACTCCCAAGGAACTTATATCTATATCATTACAATAATAACTCTAATTCATCAGAGGACACTGAAGAAGAGGAGATATGGAAGTCCCTTCCAAAAACAGAATTATAGCTGGTCTACTGCATTCACTATCTCACTTTAATAAGTAGAATTATGCTGAAAATAGAATAAACAATAGGATCATAGACCTGGGCTTAAATAATATATTTTATACTCACTAGCTGTGTGGCATTGAAAAAGTTAGTTTTAGTTCTGTGTCTTTCAAATTCCACATCTGTAAAATGAAAATAGAGCTATTTCCCAAGGGTTCCAGTGGCAGTGAAGGTGAGAGTGTGCCTGGGTATGTAGTAAGGGATTTTTATAAATGTCAACTTCTTCATACTCTCACCCCTTCAAATCTACTGCTAATTGGCAACCATCAAGTACATTTAATGTTTAAATTTGCAAAGGAGTTGAGTGTTTTTCAGTTACAAGTGGAAATCACAATTCATAAATGTTTTATAACCAATTTAACATCGATCAAAATATCCTAACAATCAGATTCCCATGTTGACAAGTTTGATTTTAGATGTCTTTTTAACTATTACAGAGCATATGAATGGGAAAATATTCCTAACTTTAGTTATATTTGCTTACTTCAGATGGATTTATGCTTCAGCTGCCACAGTTTTGGTTTTTTGCTTTGTTTTGTTTTGTTTTTTAGATTACTGCAGTGACCTTCTGGAAGGGTTCCTTGTCTACAGAGCCAATATCATCATTTTTCTCCTTTCCACTGTAGCCATCTTCTGCACTGATTATCCAAGACATATGTTTATCTCTATACCATGCCCCAAAATCTATGATGCCCCACTGTCAAAATATTAGAGTCCAAAACCTTCACTTGGCATTCTAAAGGGTGATTTTTTTTTTTTTAGTCTTCTTTTCCTGTCTTACTGACCCATCCATCCATCACATATACTCCCGTTCCCCACCACAGCCACATAAATAACCAAACACCTATCCCAACATGTTCACAGTGCTGCAAACTCAACATGCTTTGAACTTTATTTCTCACTACCACTGTGCAGACAGTTCCTTTGGTGTAGAAGTCCCTGTTTGCACCTCTCCACAGCCCCATTTTTGTCCACATCAAACATATTAAGGTCATTTAAATCTTCCTTTTCAGTGAGATTCCACATCCACCAAATGCCAGACAAGCTCTCAAACCAACCCTCTTGCAAATAACAACTATTAACTTTGGAAAAAATTTAAAACAAACAAACAAAAAACAGCTACCTGAAGGCATTGAAGAGCAACCAAAAGAAGGAGGAATCTTAATTGACTGTTGGAGGAAGGGACTAACATCTGGTGAGTTTTTATTTTTATAGCTGCCAGTCAGAGGGTAGGCTCCAGTATATACCAAGCGAGTGCTAGAATTTTCATAGAAAACTACAGTTGTTACAGTTTGAAGAATCTGCATACAGAATTCAGAGAACCACAGCCACTCAAAATTGAAGAAGAATCCAGGAAAGGAGAGAGCCAGAGAAGAGGAGCCCCAAATCTTTGTGTAAGCTCTGATCAGATCCCTGACTGAGCCCCAGTCAGTTTATCCCCTGGGTGGAAGCAAGCAGCCCCCCTAAGTCTGAGGGAACAGAACAGAGTTTTGAGTGGCTGCCCAAGAGACTGAATTTGCAGTTTGAGTCCAGCCAAATTAATTGTCTTCAAAAACAGACAAAAATATATCAATACTCTTCAGGGGAGTTTAATCAAATCCAGAGTCTCCAAAACATATTCTTTACAGTGTCCAGGATATAATCCAAAATTGCTTGAACAGGAAAAACAGGAAAGTGTGGTCTACTCCTAAAAGAAAAGATATTTCATGAAGACTGAGGCTAATATAATTTATATATTGAAATTATCATACAGGATTTTAAATTATCTGTCATGACACCATTTGATACCATGAAAAAAAATATGATTACTTACACGAATGAACTAAAATATAAAGAAGCTCTGCAGTAGAAAGAAAGTATTTAAAAAGAACTAAATGGAAAGTCTTAAACTACAAAAAAAAATAGAGTATTTGAAATCGATCATGCTTTTTCAGGAAACTTACTTAGATTCCTATCTTTTATTTAAAATTAACCTCCTCATTCACAGATTGATACTTTTATTATAGCAATTTGTGGTCTGTTTTCTATGATTTATTTATGTACATTTCTATTTCTCTGATTATAAATTCCTGGCATGATGCATTGAAGACTATCTTTCTGTGAAAGAAACCTAGTAGGAACTCTCTGAATTGATGACAATGTGAAATGGTTACTGTTAGGTTGGAGGAAGGAAAAACAAGGACATGCAAACAGAACAGAGATGCCGTAGGGGGAGAACAGACCAGACCCCAAAGTCCGTGCCTTATATGGAGAGGAGACAGTTCTTCCTGAATTCCATCCTTCTGATGTGCCAACTAAGACCTGGATGTCACCCTCTTGGAAGGAAAAAAAGTTTCTAGTTGTCTATTATGTCACCTTTAGCCAATCATACCTCTCCACACCCCCTAGGATAGCTTGCCCACTCCTCCCACTCCTAACCCCTTATAAGCCCCCACCTCCCTGACCGGGTGTGACTTCCCCGGCCTATAATAACCAGACCGCGGAACATCACCCGAGAGTGGCATTCAAATAAACTACCTGGCCCTTTGTTGCCTCTCTTCGCCTGCTTATTTCAGCTGAAATTTATTTTACAGTTACCACCTTGGGCATTAGAGTCAGACATACCTTTGTTTGAATTATACTTCCAACAATCTTACTTAACCCATCCCCATCTAAGAAGGCTCAGTTTCCAAATCTTAAAACACAATAATAATATAGGCTTATTGTGAAAATTAAATGAGATAATACATATAAAGCACTTAGCATTATTTGTTAATTTATTCTACAAAATGTTATATTGGCCACTCACTATGGAGAAAGCATTCTGCTAAGTACTGGAAATAGGGCAGTAAAGAGGACTTCTAAGTCCCTACCTTCTTAGAGTTTATAAATGAGAGAGGAGAGAAAGACATCAAATAAGTAAAGAGGTAAAATTACTCCAGAGTTCATAAATACTATGAAGGAAATAAACAGATGGAAGGAGGTAATTTAGTAACAGCTCAATGCACAGTGATTATTTTGCTATTATTATATCATTTTTTGTTCCCTACAGCACTACACCCATGCTTTGGAGGAAGTATGCACTTAATGAACATTTGTTAAATTTACTTTCTTGTGGCTCAGCTCGCATTATTTACATCTTATGATAATGTGAAAGAAAGGGCTGTGGACTATATGGTACGTCTGTAACCAGGCTGGCCCACACCACAACATATGGCATCTGCTACTCTTTCTGAAGGTCTAGACCATTTTAGGAGAAAGTGCTTGTTTAATGCAATGTAATAAATTCAGTAATTAAATCTAAGAGAACTGCGATGTGGTGCTCAAGGGAGTGACAAATTTGAATTTGACTAGCCAGATTGTCCTTGGAGGAGGCATTAGCAGCTAATCTAGGGAGGAAAATTTGTTGTTAAAAGCAAACATTAGAATATAATAACTAAACAAGTGGTTTGGCATGTGGCACATTAATTGTGCTAATTGTAGGTTAAGAAGAGGTAGATCTCACACAGCTAAATGTTGATTACAAGCTGGAAATTGCTGCACAGGAATTGTGTTTTTGTGCTTTAGCCAAGGAATTTTGCTTTTGTTTGAGTCTGTTTGGGTGGGGGTGGAGAAGTAAAGCTAGAAAAACAATTAAGTTAGTTTGTGACACTAGACCCCTTAGGGAGAGTTTTAAAGGACTGCTGTGATTAAGCCCTTAGGACACAATTACAAACAAGCCTTCCTCCAGTTGAGATCGCTAACACTTACCCCACTGCTGCCTGCAACACAAACATGGCACACTTATCCTTACACTTAGAAACACACAGACTTCTTTTTTTAATAATGTGTACAAAGTCTGTGCATTGTTGGAAATAGAAGCACATGTGAAGAAGCGTAACAAACAGTGCTAATGTTTGTTTTCTTTTGAAGAGTACTGATGTAGAAACAACTGAATTTTCTGTCTTATTTCTGTTAAGGTCACTGTGACTCACTAGGTCTAAAAAGGGTTTTTGTTTGCTTCGGCTTGTTTGCTTTCTCTTTGGTGGCTAGATGATAGTCAGAAAATTTATAGTAAGTCTCTCTGACTAGAGACTGAAACTTTAAAATGGGCTCCAAGACTGTTCTGAGTTTTTAAGTGTTACGCAGTCAGGTTCATGTATATTTCTATTGTTCTAAGGGTTAAAAACTGCACTATCACAATGACAGTCCTTATTACTCAGTCAAAGTAAATGGATCACCACATAACCTTACAGAAATGTTCTTCCTTAAGCTATTAAAACATTCCATGCCCTTAGATGACAACAATTTCTCTGCCTTTTGAAATTTCTTTTCTATCCTGCAGAGTTCATAGAGATATGCTTGGTTAAAATCAACTTATATAAAACTATGCACTGTAAATTCTGACACTTCTGTTTGAATCTCTTTTCAAACACTTGTCTTTGCTCACCATAATAGATGTCAGTTCTTCTGATGTAGTTCAAGCATGAGCTTCATATGAAGACTCAGCCATGTCTATTGCATTTCTGAAGCTACTACTCACTGAAGTTTTGTGCTGTTTGACATCAAAGATAGGCAAGAATCACCTGCTGAGTTCACATGCATGGAGCAAAACATCTTCAAATCACTTTTGCTAGACAAAAGTTTTTTTTTTAATATTAAGCTTTTGCTATCATGTGGACTTAAAGACAAATGCAGTCCTTGTTAAGGTTGCAACATTGTACTATTAAAATATGCATTAAAAGCTCTGAATTGAGCTAACCTCAAAACTAAAGGTAATTTGTGTAGTTGCTTCAGTTTTGAGCTTAGCTGCAAAGAATTCAGCATCATTCAGACATTCAAAATGTGATTTTATTCAGTATGGAGTTAGTTTGCTTGAAGGTAAAAAGCACTTTAAACATTCTCAAACCCAAAAGAGAATCTTTCAATATTTCTAACTTTAATAGATGTCCTTGACATCTATTAAAGAGATAATTCCATTCAGAATAAATACTGTATACAGAGTATTTGAAACTATAGGTTTTATATTTTAAAAATTCCACTTAAATTTCAAAGTTACTACAAATAATACCATCTATATCTTACTTTTTAAAAAGCAATTTCTTATTTTTCTAAGCAGTGTAATTTGGCAATTATTCTTGTTAAGCCTCAGCATTTCTTAGAACAGGATAAAAACAGAGTTATTAAAGAGATGTGAACATGAAAATTATGATGGTTTTCATGTCTGTGATGTTCTGGATGAAAGTTTTAAAATTTGGATTCCAAATTACCAAATAATTAAACTCCAGAGAAAGCTAAGTGAATGACGCTAAAAATGAGGCAAAGACTTGAGCTTCCCCAGGAATAGGCCTGTTTGGTAATTTGCATTTTAGATGCTACTAGTTTTAAATTTTGGCTTTCATAGGGCAACAATATTTAAAAATTTTGGGAGAGTATAGTATCTGTAAATTTTTATTTCCCATATTTTGAATATATTTTTAAATGCATATAGTTATATGGTTTAAATGCATATAGTTTATCATTACCATTATATATAAATGGTGTACATATATATGTGTGTGTGTATATATAATAGACATATTAATATATATATTCATTATAATATAAATATAGCATATATATATGTAAATAGACATTTTAATACAAAAAAGGAAAAGCATCTAACTTTAAAAAGAAGTCACTAGATTTTACTTTGCCATGTATCAGTATTTAGGAATCCTGCTCAATTTTTTTTTTCATCCACCCGGTGCACACCCTGTGCTGATGTGTGGCCAGACATATCATTCAGCCCAAATTGTCTCACTGATAAAGAGTTTGATTATAGCACAAAGAGAAAAAACACGTAGAATTTCTTTTTTTCTTTCAAGCCCCCTCATGCACAAAAAATGTCTTGGAGAAAGATAGAGATGAAATGTGATGTCAGTGTAATCTCTTAGCTAACCAGTCAGCCAGAGATTGGCCGCTCAGATCTAGAGTACCTATGCCTTTCTTTATTACAATCACATTTTGAATTATCTTTCTATGGTGTGAGAGACTCTGATTAAAGAAATATTCTCAGTTTCACATCCTGAAACAGATATGGTTGGGAGTGGAATCAGTTGATACTTTAACCAGGTTGTAACAGAGCAAATATAAGAAGGAAAATAACAGAAGAGTTGTTATGTGGAACTGTGGGTAATATTGCAGTATTTCCAGAATCTCTTGACTGGCCTTAGTGCATTTCCATATCAGTAGGCCAAGGGCTGGAGAGAAGTAGTCTATCTCCGTATCAATGGTGATTACAAGGTGGGAGCAGGGCATCTCTGGACTGGAGAGGTTGGGTGGGGTCCCTTTTGCCACCTGATCGTAAGAGACACGGGAGAGCAGAAGTAGACAGCTGCTTATAGGCAATAAACAGGTTTCTCCCACTTTATTTCTCCCTTTGATTTCAGTTTCAAAGATATTTTGCCCCAGGCTTGAAAAATATTTCCCCCCAGAGTTACAGGAACTTAAATTATATTTTTATTTTCTTAACAGTCATTATTAATAAATACATTATATTTAATTTAAATGCATCATTTATGTTTGTGACAGATTGTTTGCTGCTCACCAAAATCCAACTTCTTTGCTTTCTTCCAAGTACATAACCTATGCTAGTTTCTCTTGCAGTTAAGTATGTTCATATTACTCAGTTCTTACTAATGAAGTGTGACCAGAAATAATGGGTGTCACTTTTAGACCCATACCTTGCCCATAAAAATCCTCTCTTGGTGTTGCCCTCTACAGTCTTCTCCACTTCCTAGTTGAAACGTCTGTGTTGGAAATTGTAGAACCTCTGGCAGTCTGGGACCCTGAATGACTACATGAAGGAGAACCACCCTTTTGACTTATTCACCCACTTAGTAGTTAGATGAGCCTGAAGTAGACTTCTGTTGTGTTTGCACCAGTGTACATTTTGGGTTTTATTTGCAACAGATAGTCTGCCATTGATTTCCATGTTCGGGGTTGATTGGTGACAGGAATTAGCTTACCTATAACCTACAGTATTGAATTTTATTTTAAAATTATCCAACAAACTTTTACTTTAAGATTAATAGGTGTGTGTTTTGTTTGTAAAAGTGTAACTCTGTCACTTAAGTATTCCCCAATTCTCTTCTGAGAAAAATGGCCTCTCAGATAACGCAATACTCTAATGGCCATAACTGTTTGGATGGAGGATTGCACTGTTGCTAAACATTTCCTCTGAGAAACTTGTCACTTAGGTGAATGAGAGAGAAAAATAAGTGCAGGAAGAAAATTAACATAAATCTAAAAATTAGCTAGATTTGGTAACCATAGTACACAGATAGATTCTCCCTTAGTACTTTTAAGTGCAAGGTATTAGAGGAAGTTACTTTTCCTATTACTATTGCTATGTAGCAAACCAGCCCCAAAACTTAGTGTCATAAAACAACCATTTTATTATGCCCATGGATGGATTATGAACAGTAGTAGAAGGGATAGATTCTCTCTGTTCTACAATACCTAGAAAGATTTGAAGGCTGAGATGACATAACAGTGAGGGGTTAGAACCGTCTAGAGGCATCTTCACTTTCAAGTCTCGCAGTCCTGCTGCCTATCAGCTGGGACATCACTGGGTGGTCAGCCGGAGCAGCATTATGTTTTCTTTCTGTGTGGTCTCTCAGCATGGGTTGGTTTAGGCTTCCGCACAGAATGGGGCTGGAGTTCAAGAGAAAACACTCCAAGAGAAACAGGTGAAAGCTATGTTGTCTTTTCTAACTTAGCCTTGGAAGTTACATAGCATCACTTCTACCATCATCATGAGTCTTTCCAAGTTCTAGGGGAGATTCTATTTCTCAGTGGGTGGAGTGGTAGGTCGCATTATTAGAAGATTGTGTGGAATGGGAGATATTTTAACAGCTATCATTGGAAAATACAGTCTGCTACAAAATTATTAAATAGAGGATAACAATAGATAGTGAAGGCAACAAAGAAGAAAACTGCAGAATAGCTAAATCAGAAAAATGGAGTTGTTTCTGCAAACTATGGAAGAGCAGCTGCTACAAATGGAGTGAGTTTGTAAAACCCTTGCCTAGTGAGAATACGTATGTTTGTATATGTATATATACACATAATTTTATATACAAGCACACATATGTGCCTATACACATGTACATCATGTGTGTTTGTGCACAAAGGATTTATATTAAGAATAAATAAAATACTCTTACAAAGCAATAATAAAAAGACAGTCAACTGAAATATACAAAAGGCTTGAGCAGGGACTTTTAAAGAAATATTCAAATGGCAAATGAGCTTAATTTCATTAGTTATCAGGGAAATGCGAAATTAAAAGGTTGTCACTTCATTACCACCTGAATGCCTAATACTTTTTAAAATGGCAGTAAACTGTTGGTAAAGATGTGGAACAATCAGTGGTAACACCTCTTTAGGGCACTGTTTTGGTTTAGTCTGTTTAGTATCTGCTAAAGCTGAACGTATGCATATTCCATGATTCAGAAACTCCAGTCCTTACATATACCAACAGAAATGTATGCATTTGCTCATTAAAAGTGAGACATGTACAAAAATGACTATAGAAGTATTATTTATAACAGCCAAAATCAAGAAACCATCAAAATTATTTGTCCATCAGAAATAGGATGGATAAATTGTGCTATACTCATGCAACAGAATATTGTGCAGCAATAAAAAAACAGTTACTCTCTATGACTACACAAAATGACATGGATGAATTTCATAAAAATGTTGACTGAAAGAGGCCTAACACAAAGGACTACATATGATATGGTTCTAAGTATATAAAGTTCTAAAACAGAGAAACGAATTAATGGTTACATCTAAAAAGGATGAATTTCTGGTATGTAGCTGACATATCTCAATCAATCTGACTATTCAAAATCTATAGAGCTAGAAACTTGTTCACATTTAGAAGGATGTTTACTGGGATGGAAGTGATGCTTCCAGAGTACCAATACTCTTCATGTCTCTGTATGTGTGGTGGTTATGTGAATGTGCTTTTTTGTAAACTGCCTGAAGGTTTGTATTCTTTATGTATGTAATGCAACAATAGAAATAAAGTCTCTTTTAATGAAAAGGTTTATTTGAATTAATTAAATGTTATCACCCACAGGAAGCAATGGAAGTTGAATTCTGGAAAAAAAAGCAAGGTGGCTGAGTGGGGGGGACCCCTGCTGCAATCTGAAAGGTGTAATAGATCTCCGGAGCCTTATTTGCCTGCCAACACAGTGTCTGGTGCTGCTGAGAGGTAAATCTACCACAATGCCTCAGGTCCAGGTAACTGGAGCACTGCTCTGTTTTTTTTTCAACTTTGAAAAATGCCTAACAAAAAAATTGGGAGGAAATATGAGAAACTGCAGGATAAGAGAAAGGCAGTGAAATAATATGATGTGTAAGTAACAAATTAGAGACACAGTTTGAAATATTCAATCATAATTCTGTGATTCTTTGTGGTGTCTTGGCGTGGAGTTTTCTGGTGATTTGACTTGACTTAGTACAAGGATAATATTTAGCAATGGTGGGCAATATTTTAATCAATAGTAAAAGGAATAATAACAATGAGGGAGAAAAAGTGCTCTATTTTTCTCTGAGGCATTAGTTATCTACATAATGATGAGCTGACCCATTAGGTTTGGTGGAAAATGCAATTAAGACAAAGTACAAATCCAGTTTTCAGAGAACCATTTATACACTGGATTTAAAATACTACCCACCAAAAATGCATTTTCAAGAAATATTTGGTTGTGTTCAATTTATGTCAACTCATTCTTTCATTTATTCATCCATTTATTCATGCATTCACTCAGTGTTTACTATGTACCAGACACTGTTCTAGCTTCTGGAGATACTGCAATGAACAAAACAGAAAACTCTCTGCTTTCATAGGGGTTACATTTTAGTTGTGGAAAGAGGTGGTGATATTTATCAAAAGCATTAATTGTAGAATATACTAATAAGAGAATAAGGCAATTTATGGGAAGGGGATAGGGAGTTCTGGAATATGAGTGAGCTTGAAGTGTTTATTACAGTGATCAGGGAAAGAGTTCACTGGCAAGGTAACATTTGAGTAAAGAACTAAAAGAGGTGAGGGAACAAGCCATGCATGCTGATTTCTACTTTTTGTTTAGCGGTAAGCACTTTTTAGACGTCAGTCTAGGTATTGGAAGACGCGGAAGTACATAGACTTTGGGACAAGAGTCCTCCTGTATTTGATCTTAGCTTGTGCTGCAAGGTTTCCCATTGCTCCTACAGATTCATTTTCCATCTTTGCTCTGTGCTTTGGGAGCATAAGTATTGAGAACTCCCTTAATAGACCAACTGCTTACCTTGAAGCTCAGTGGACTTACCTGCCCTCTGGCTTCCAATTAATTTGGGAAAATGGGCACCATTGCCTGGAGGCTTTTGGGAGAAAGAAGATTACTGAGTTCAGAGTATTTATTCTTGGTGGTTGCCTGCATTTCTCTGTTGAAAGCCTCACCTGCTGTCAGGTGATCATCTCCTCGAGAACGGCTCCTTACTGCAGGTTCTGGGGTGCTAGCTGCTTCCCACAATCGCTGACTTCACTCAGTGCACTTCAGCTTCCCTTCTTTGATTCCTTTAACTCTGCTCACTCCTTTGTTAACAGTCTGTTTTATTCAGCTCTCCTCAGTTACCCCCTTTGAGGGTAACTGTTTCCTGCCAGGACCTTGACTGATACAAAACTACTCTATTTGCTTAAATTTTCTGAAACCCAGTTTCCTCATTGAAAAACAAAAACAAAAACATTCCCACTAAGCTCTTAATGTTATTGCAAGTATTCATTGAGATGACGTTTTTAAAGTCCTTTCACATACTGTCCAAAAAACAATGCAGTTTTTGAATGGTAGTCATTATTACTCTTAAGGATGGTAAGAGTCTCCATTAGGAAGATCAGTCTAGAAAGAGAAAGATACATTCATAATCAATATACCTAATAAAACAATATAAAATTGCTATTAGTTTACACAGATTATGCATCACTTACAACTATATATTAGCACTATTAAGAAAATAATACAAATTCTCTGTGGCTGTCTCTCACCCATAATCCTTTTTCCACATACCTTCCATAGGCATCTAAACACACACACCATCTCTCTGCCTAAAATCCATTGTGATAAATGCAAAAGTGCTTAGCATACAAGTTCTTTTGTGATGTGATTTCATGTGTCCTGCTCATCTCTTACTGGTTCTCTCTCCCTTTCATTTCATTTTGCAACATTGTAGAACTATATTGCCCAGCTGTATTATACCATGTTCTCAATCATCTCCTTCTGCCTAGGATATTCTCCTCTATTCCTGCCATTCTCTGTCTTTTCCTTATATCACCATCTTCTCTAGCAAGTCTTCTGCTATGCACCAGTCAGGCAGGCTTATATCCTCACCACCTCCATTCTCATGACACCTTGTAGTATTTCTATCATAGCACTCCTCACAGAGTACAGAAATCTTATCTTCTTGTAGACCATAAGCTCCCAAAGGAAAAGTACTATTCTTTTTTTTCTTTATATTCAGAAAAAAAAATTGTTTACATTATTTAAAATACAGAGAGGGCAAGTAAAAGATTTTACATATACATTTTTCTAGGTGCAAAACAGCTTGTAATTCAATACATATTGAAGCATGTCTAAGAAGGCTAAACTTACTAAATATACTTAACTAAATATACTTAACATTTTCCCTTGCAAGATTTGCTTTGGAAATGTTGGCATAAAGATAGATACACTATATTTAGAAATATGACTGCATAGAAGATCTGGGAAATTTTTGAAAGTCTGGTGAAATTGCATTAAATGATCTGTATTCATTTTCACATTAAAGTTTTCTTTGGTAAACAAGACTCTTCTCAGTTCCTAATGGTAAATTTAATACTAATAATAGCAATGTACAGATTTTAATGTGTGCCATTTTAATTGACCATTTTTCACTGTGTTCTGAAAATCTCTTAAATATATTCACTTTTTAAACTTCAGTGAACACTAAACTATCAAAATGGTGCATAGTCCTAATGATGATATTGATGATGAGAATAACAGAAGCTTAAACTGTTGAGTGACTATTTTGTGCCAGAGTATTCAGTACCACTATTCTCATATCATATGTGTTTCTGTAACACAAATTAGCTCAAGGGTGTATCAGTGGATAGGAAAATGATACTAATATAAAGAATAAATTCCATTAGTTCGTATGTGATTTTTTTTTGGCACACTCATATTTTACACCACAGATAACATTAGCTAAATACAAAGCAAATAAGTGGAACTGCCAGCAAAAAAAAAATCCTCATTGCTATGTTATTTCTTTAGTGTATTGGAAATTAATAAATTCTTTAAAGTATATTAGTGTTATCACTTTTTATTGTATTTGTCAGTGATCTGGAAACAGAGTTGCCTGAATTTTGAGTGTTTGACTCCTACCTGTGTTTTTCAGAGTACAATTTTGTTGAATACAAGGTTTTTCCTTGTATTCCAATAGAATGCCTATTTTACTTTTAATCAAAATGCCTAGACTTCACATGCATTGTTTCACTTATATATGATAGATAATTAGACAAAAGGGACAATGATCTATAACAGTGAATATCCACAACAAACATATTAAGAACTTTGTAAATTTTTATTTCAAAAAACAATGCAATTTTGTTTTAAGTAAATATTCAATATTCATTGCAATAATTATTGCTGAAGGGTGAATTAGACCATGTCTGGATATTTTATTTTTCAATTTCATAAAAAAAGCTGAAGTCACATTTTTCAAAATAGGAGAGCTATGAAAAAAAGTTTAGTATTCTAAATCACTCTAACAGAAATAATCATTTAGGAGACAAACTATACAAAATAATTTATTTCCTTGCTCTGGTCAGTTTTTACATTTTATATACTTCCTTGATTTCCAGGCAATTCAAATTTACTAAGAAATTCAAAAATAAACTTATTCCATAAAATTTTTTTGGCACTACAAGAAAGGGAAGTAATGATTTTGTTCCCATGTGACAAAGAATATAAATGAAATATGAATCAGCCCTGCCATCTGCAAGAGGAAGCACAGTGCCATTCTAGACCTGACTTAATTGGCTCCAAACATGCCAAGTGACCATCTCTGAACCAATCATTGTAGCAAAGGGAATAGAATATGCAGATTCACTTAACCTAATGAGCTCCTCCCCTACCATAGACTCAGAACAGGAAAGATGGTTCCCAAAAGATATAAACTGTTAAATACACGAAAAGATAATCGCCTTCATTTGTAGTAAGAGAAACACCAATTAAAACTACAGTGAGATATAATTTCTCACCTATCAGACTGGCAAAACTCCAAAAGTTTGATGGTGAGGCTGTGGAGAATCAGGAACTGTCACATGTTGCTAGTCAGAGTGCAAATAGTTACAGTTCCTATGGAATTGGCAATATCTTAAATAATTATATGTGTTATTAGACCAGGAAATTCCACTCTTAAGAAATCTGCCCTGACTAAATAGGTACAAATTTTATACAAAGGTGAAATTTGAAAGAACACAAATGTCCATTAATAGTTGTCTGGTTAAATAAACTATGATCCATGTGCCCAATATAGTATTAAATGACCATTAAAATAATGAAAAAGATTGCTTTATACTGATAGGAAGTGATACCTATAGTATTATTGTGAAGGGAAAAATCAAAGTATAGAGCAATTAATATTTTATGCCACTTTTGGATTTAAAAAGTAGAAATATAAATATATATTATATATGCTCTTTGTGTGTGTTTGTGTATATGTTTCTAGTTTATCATTCAATTGTTTATAATTGTAATACATAATTGAATGATAAACCAAAAAGTAATAAAAATGGTGGTCATTAATGGGAAAGGGAGTTGACAAGGTAGAAAGGGTAAGAGGACAGCAGACTTCATTAATATATTGTTTTACATTATTTTGACTTTTAAACTATACACAAACCTAAAAATGAAAAACAAGCTGAGACAAATAAACCTAATTGTGCATCAAAGTGACATGACCACAAAGAGAATAAAAAGATTCTTTAAAGTGTCATCTAAACAGAGTGCTCTTATTCTATATTCTTAGTAGGATATAGTCTAAAGAGAAAAGAATAGTACTAAGAAATCTTCAATTTTACTT